TAAATAAGAGTTTATTTCTGACTATTTTTGTGCAGAATACTTGAAGTAAGACTTTATTTAAAAAGTGTGAATTCATTTCCTTTCCAACTAACCACGCGTTGTTTGAAAAAAAAATGATTTTGAATGGAAGTATATATATTTATAATAATGGTAGTGGTGAAGAATATTATAATAGAGAGAGATTGAAACTCTACTTAGGTAGTTTATCTTGGTAAGTTTACTAGCACAGAGAGAATACAAACAGATATGTTACGTGTTTCACTAACTAACGTTAAATAAGCTATGAATGACATCTCACGCCATTCACTTAAAAATGGAAAAAGTCAATAAAAAAGGAAATCAAGAGGCAGAGGGAGACAAATGTCATTATATAAATATTTTACTTTTTATTTTTAATTTATCTCGTTATTTAGTGTCAAAAAATTATTATTATTATTATTATTATTATTATTATTATTATATATTAAAGTAAAATATATCTTATATAATTTACTTAATTGAAAATATCCTGTAATATTAAAGTAAAAATATAGTATTAGTGTGAGATGTTATAGTATTTTTAAGATGTTTATAGAAAAATATTTATTTTTTTAAAATTAGTATTTTTTTAAAACAGTTATTTTAAAATAAGATATATATATATATATAAATTATTTTTATTATTAATTTTAAAATAATATAAAATTTATAAATCTATTAAAATATATATTTTTTATTAAAAATGAATAATATTTTATTTTCTTATTTTATAATAAATTATCATATTTAAGATATTATTTGTTTTAAAATTTTATTTGTAATAATTTAATTTTAAAAAAATATATCAATAAATTAAATAAAAAATATATAAATTATCTTTAATTATAATTTTATTTTATAATTTATTTTCTTTTAATTATTTATAAAAAAAATATTTAAATTAATAAACTAAAAATAATAAAAAGATTTCGTTATAAATAAAATAGGAAGAGGAGCTAGAAAGAAGATAGGGTGTGCGTTTGACTGAATCACCATTATTGCGCTGTGTGGCTGTGTTGTGATGATGGTGTGATGAGGTAGTTTGGTTTGGCAGTTGTAATCCAAGTGGAAGGACAATCCAACGCACCAAAGTGTACCTTCTCTTTTGTACACCACCTCAGTGAAAGCGACCCACACAAATTAATATCAATTATTCATCATTTCTAGCCTATTCAATTTTTAATCATATTAAAATAAAATATAAATAAAATATGTAAATTAATTTTAAATTTAAAATAAATATTATATTTATTTATATATTATTATATTAACATATTTTTAATTAATATAAATTTTTTTAATATATTCAGATGATCTTTTATTATATCTTCTCAGATTTAATATTAATAAAATAATAGATAGTTAAATTTTATCCTTATTAATAATTATTATTTTGATAATGGAAAATTAATTTCATTAATATTAAATGTTATTATTTTAATATCGTCCTAATTTAATTTGATATCATCTGAATTCTTTTATTTAATTATAGAAAATTAATTTTAAAAAATAAAAAATTATATTTAATTTAATATTATTATATCTTTAATCGATACAAAAGTTTATTAAAAGAAATAATCCAATTCTAACCTTAGAAAAGCAAGGGGTGAAGTGAAAAAAAAAATATAAGGAGTGGTGCGTGATGAGTCGTGGTTGTGGAGATGTGGGAAGGGTACGTGCATATGCAATGTTTGTATTTCTTGATCTAAATTGTGAAGGAGAAGCAAAAGGTGTTAAGAGGCCCACTATTTTTTATATTTTGACATTGTTAGCTCAATTCACAACTCCACCTAACCCTTGCTTCTTCAATCCTCCCATGCCTCCTCTAACCAAATATGCTTATTGAGGTTGACATTCACAATAATACATGTCTCTCCTTCTACAATTATTGGATTTTTCTTCTCATCCCTTCCATATCTTAGTTGCTAAGATCTACTACAACTCTAATTCCTATTCAAGACAAAATAAAAATTGTATTTTTATTATTAGAACTACTTATCAACTTAACCCATTCAAACAACCACAAACTGTTTCTGTGGACAACTCAACCCAACACTTTGTCACTGTACTTGCCAGCATTCTTTAATGAGATAGGTACTCAACATCTAAAAAAATAAAATAAAAATATCTTACAAATAATATTTTAATACTTTTATTCTAATGTTCTCTTCACGGACAAAAAATTTGTGTGTTTTCGTAATTATAAGTAAACATATCCCACTTTAAAAGAACAGAGAGAGGAAATACGTCAACTATAATAAAAAAGAAAAGGCACTCTCACTATATTCTAAAAATGTCTCTTTAATTCTTAACACCTTTTTCTTTAAAAAGAAAATAACAAATTATTATCTTTCTTTAATTATTCTTTTCCTTCCTATATGTTTCTTTTTATTACCAGCAGAAAAGAGTTTCCACAAAAGAAAACAAAGTTTGTAAAGGTTAACAAACATAACACTGAATCGGATTCCTTGATCAATTTAGTTATCTTAAATGTTATAAAATTAATTATAATCAGCTGAGATACTAAATTTATCTTTTTAGTCTAAGTCAAATATTCATTAAATTATTTTGTAACCTTAGATTAATTTGATTATATCTTAGATTAAAAATTGCTGTTTTACTTTTATCTAAACATAATATGCTCAATTTATTCTTACGAAAAAAACTATAAACGTTTCACTGTATTGTAAATTATGTTGGTTTTTTTATGCTTATTATACTTTTTTTTTCAAAGTTATTTTTAAGAAATAAGCTTTAAAATAAATAAAAATTAAAGAAACAAGCGTATCACGCACGAGTCAAAATTCTTAGAATGTTTATAATTTTTTATAAAAATTAGAAAAAATCATTTTTCTATAATCTTTTCTTCAAATTCTATTTCACACGTAATTTCTTCTTTAAAAATTTTCGGCCAATGAAAAAAAATCCACCAATTAGGAAATATTAATCCAAAAAACCTTTACATGAAACATTCCTAAAAAAAATAACAAAATTTTCACTTTAAAAAAATGGAAAAAAAAAACTGATTCAAAAGATTTTTAATGAAAATAATTTAATTTGTATTAATTAGAAAAATTGACAAGTAAACAAAGGCCTAACTCTCGTTCCTACTTTAAAATAAGGAGATGTTGACCTACTTTAAAATTATTTTTTTAATTTCACAATTTTTTATAATATAATACAATTTATATAAATTATATTTTGGATGGATAAACTAAAAAAAATAGTAATAAGAATACAAAAATATTTTTGTTTGTTTTTAAAATAAGTTTATCTTTGTATGTAATATTTATTAATATTAATCATATTTTTATTATTATGTTATTTTATTATGATAACTAAACATTTATGTGTGTCCGATTTTTTATACAATACTATTTTTATTTGTACTTTAAGATTAGAAAAAAAATAGAAAAGAAGGTGTACTTAAAAGATGAAAGAAAAATAAAACTGTAAAGAACAAGTGAGTGTTTCAAGAAGAGAGAGAAAAAATAAATTTTTGATTAACTTTAATTTATTAAATATATTAGAAAACATGAAAGAAACAAAGAAAAAATAGAATATATATAAAAAAAATTAAATAAAAACAACTACACAAAATCTATATATTATTATTTGTGAAAATATATTAATAGTTTTTATTATTACACAAAATTTGAGGAGACGGAAATTTATATCATTAAATAATATTTTGTCTTTCAAATATTTAAATCAATTGTGTCGGCACTTGCAGAAGACGTGATTCAATACGGAACAGCGACGCTATTTTAATTAAACTTTGAATAATTACATGATTTTTCCTCAAACACAATTTTCTTATCTCTATCCGCCAAACCAAACACGTCATATCCCGAGAACCTTCAATTTCACTATCCTTTCTCACATCACAAATTTGAACTCATCAAGGGATATATTCGTACTTACACGCCTGCACTTCATGTTCTAAATTTCTATTTTTTACTTATATACTTAATTTTTAACCTAATCTTTTAACTAATACATATCTATATTTTTGTGATATTGAAATTAAAATCAGTAAAATAAAACTCTATCGCTATTTTATTAAAGTAGAAATTATAATTTTTTAAAATAAACTTAAAACAACACATTTAAAAAAAGTCAAGAGTAAGAGTTTAGATATAAAAACTTTACTAGTTAAAAATATTTGGATAAAATGTACAAATATTCGTTATAATGATAAAGAGATTAAGTAAATTATATATTTTAAAAATTCTAATGAATGAAAAAGTTGTCTGAGCGTCTCGGTGATGTTTTTAATTAAAATGTGAAACATGTTTTAATTCTAATGAAGTTAACTACCTAACCCACATAGTTTTTTAAGTATATAAATACGTGATAAATATAAACGTGAAAAATAAAATATGAAAATAATCATAAAATTTATAATCTCTAGAACCTTCTAAGTCAGAACTCCTTTAATAAATACTCGTCTCAAACCAATTTAATAAAAAATATAACATGAATATAAAATAATAATAATTTTTTTCTAATCTATTGATACGATATTCTAAAAATAAACTTTAAAATCAATAATAATATCTGGAAATAAGTTAAATAAAAGAATGGAAGTATTTTGAATTTGTTTTGAGTATTGTGTTCATAGGGAAGGGGGTATCTGTGTTTACTGAAAGGTCAACTTCAGCTGCATGTGAGAAGCTTTTCATTCGTGGAACTGCTTAAAATCACGTTTCTTCACTTATTCCATTAACCTTCTCATTCGTTCTACCAAGCGGTGCTGACATACCAAACAAATCACGAAACGCTCAGGATTTTATCGGGAAAAGTTACATTTAATGTTTTACGTTTTTTGTTTTTTCCAAAACGACGTTGTTTTTAAGATCTTAGTATCTCGATAAAAAATGCAAAATAAAAACATTTATGATCGTTGGGCATGCGTCCACGTCATCTCAGAAAACATTGAAAATATCGCAAGGGTTGAATTATTAATTACAGAGATATTGATGAGAGGGAATATTTTGAAAAGAGGGGAAAGAGAAGAGGGCGAAGAATGCGATGGAAGCGGTTGGCACGTAGCGGTGGGAACTGGGAGGGGCGGCACGTGTGAAGGGGAGGAGCTGAGTTGGCGGCATGCATGGCGAGTGGTGTCATCGGGAACTGTGAAAGCCGCCACCGTCACCGGCTTCGAGGCAGTGGGGAACGTGTAAACAAATGCTGTGTGCCGTACAACTCTCGCCCATGGTTATTTATTTCCCAAACTGCTCTGCAGTCTCTTTAACCAAACCTTTTTATTTTCTTTTATTAATAAAAATATTATTTTATAAATTAAAAAAAAACATTTCTTTAATTTTAAGAGAGAACTCTTTTTAATAAAAACATTTTGGAAGGGTAAAATTTTGTAAGAGAGAAAATAAGAAATAAAATATAAGTTAAATTAATTTATATCAAAATTAAAAAAAAGTTTTAGAAAATTATATGAGATGATTTTTACGAATTAACTTATAAATAATCTGATTTTAACTTTATAAGAAAAATTATCTGAATATATTAATCATTTTATCCGTTTTGTTTTCCATATTATTACTTCACACGTACTATGAATAATAATAATTATATTATTATTTAAAAATAATACCAAAGTGTTTTTACCTTTTTTATGAATTAATCTAAAAAACATGGATAAAAATGTGTTTCTTACATAGGAAAAAAAATGTTATATAAGTAAAACTAATGTATTTTTGGAAATATAATAAACACCTAAAAAACATATTTTATTATTTTCTCTCCGTCTCTTCAACAATAATGACATGCAATTTAATTATCTAAAAATTATTTTAAATTTTTTTTTTACTTTCCTCCCCATGCATTATTTCATTTTTTTTTACTTATCTTTACATTAATTATCCATAGTTTTCACAATAAATATATTATAAAACATTTTATATATTGAAAATGATAGTAAATATATCTATTTTATCAAGAAAATAGTATATTAATAATATATCATTTTAACTAAGGGAAATTATATAATATATATTATATAAAAAGTTTAAATTTTTTTAAAAATTAATAAAATAATTTTAAACAACATAAAACAAACAAACTTTCAAGGCATTATTTATTTTCAGATTTTTAAAAATTTGTTTTGAAAAGTAATTTTAAAAACAAAATTTGGAAAGGATATTGTTAGATAAGTTTAATTTAAAATTTATTTTAAATTATCGATGGATATTGAAGAAACGATTACATATTTCATGCACATCAATATGGGTATTGTAGTATAACAGTTGAAAATACATACATAAAGTTAATAAGACAAAAAATAAAGGATTTATTTGTTTATTGTTAAAAAAACACAGATTTTTAGTTTATGAAAACTAAATTGATAATAGTTTTGTTAAAATAAAGTTTTTTTTTCAATATTTAATAATTTGTTTGATTTATTTTTTAAAATTTGTTTTTCAAAATAGTTTAAAAAATTAATTTAATAATTATATTTTTAAAAATATTTTAAACATAGAAAGTTACATAAATACAATTAAAAAATCGTGATGAAATTAAAAGTATTTGTTTTTATTTAAAAATACTAAAAAATAATTTAATATAATTATTAGTGAAAATGTTCATATTCATTCATTAAAAACAGAAAATTAAAATAGAATTTACTTTTTATCAATTTTAAGATTTTAATTTTTACAAACTAAAGAACAAAAATAACTTTTAAAAATTGTTCTAAGAAATAGTTATTAAATAATTTTTTTATTTTAAAAAACTAAAATATTGAAACTATTTTTAAAAAAATAATAAACACATAGACCTAAAATATGTTTAGGCTTTTGTTAGTATTCACATCTTCACATATATGTTTTATGTTTTTATTAGTATTCTACAACAAAACCATAATCCAAAAGCTAATATAACTTAAACGTACTAAAAAGATTTAAGTTAGTTTTATTCGTTATATATATATATATATATATATATATATATATATATATATATATATATATATATATATATATATATATATATATATATATATATATATATAGAGGATAAAAACTTAAATCATTTAATTTTCTATTACCTTATACTTACTTTATTAATAATAAAAAAATAGATAAGATAAGTATATACATGTATATATACAGTTGTTATTTAAAAGATATTTTTAATACATGTATTTCAAACACAATAATAAAAAAATTCTAACTATAAAAGTTTTTTCATAGTAACATCTAATCTAATATTGTTGAAACTCATTCTTAAGATATAATTCATTCAGGTGCAATAAACTGATCATCACAATAAAAAAAATTACAAACAATTAAGTATTTTAACAAAGTTAATGTAGAAACAACAAATATATTTTAAATTAGATTTAAATTTATTTAGAAATCATAATATACAATATAATTAACGTATACACATGTGATTCAATATAACTTAAATATTGGTTATAAAAAAAATATTGAAGTTTTTATTCAAATATCAACCCCTAAGTATTTAAACTAACTTGTTGATAAAGTAACCTAACATTTTTAAATATTAAATATTAAATGTGTTGGCATAACATTTTTATACAAATCCAAACCAATCAATCTAATGATTGAATTAGATAATAAATTGAATGCAACTCATTAATAGATGCTATAAAACATGTCACTAAAAAGAAGAAAAAGAAAAGAACAGAAAGTTGTTGAGTGACTAAACGTGGAAAGGGATATAGCAAGTTGAAATGGAGGTACCGATGAAACAGTACTTTGTGGTGGTCCATTATGTCCGGACATTATTACATATCTAACCAGGACCCACCATGTTTTCATTTTTTCTTAAATTTGTATGTCATATAACTGAACGAGTTTGAGGAAGACAAGGCGAGGAACATGCTCTGCCGTTGCCTTGGAAAAAAGCTATCATAGATTGGACTTATAGGTAATTCTTTACGCTGACCTAAATTTATTTCTTTTCCTTTCCGATAATCATTAACATGTTTTTGTTCGGTTATAACGTTGTAGTTGTTAGATTTTACTATTAAATGAAAAGTCAAGTTGAGACTTCATTAAAAGTAATTAAATTTATGTAATTCATCGTAATATTATAATTAAGACTACGGCTAAAAATAAAAAGCAAGGAAGCTTTTTAAAGCTTTGTTTGGTCTTTTGTTGAAAGAAATAATAAAGATTTGGATGAAATAAAGAAAAAGCTGCAAATGAGTTCATGCGAATGTGATGGGTTAAGAGAGAAAAGAAATTCTCATCCATCAAACTTTTTTGATGCCACGAGGAGAACATTGTCAGCGGCTGCTTCGGTAAAGATACAACGTGATTTTCAATATTATTTTAATAATTTTAAATTTCGTTAATAATACATCTGTGTCTGGTGACGATGAATTGTCATTTGCAATTTTCTGTTTATGCTTACGAAAATATTTTTAGAAAAAAAATCATATATGTTGAAAAATTAATACATGTTTTCTTTAAAAGAAATTTAAATACTAGATTATTATTATTATTATATTTATTACTCAAAAGAGTTATTAAAACAACAAATTCTTACATAATAAGGTGGAGTGAAAAACCTACAAAGAATAAAATTTCATTTTTAAAATAAATTCAGAAGTTAAAAATTTAGAATGATTTAAAATTCATACTTCATTAAAACACTTTTAAAAAAGTAAAATAATAAAGATTCGTTTTTGTAAAGTTAAAGGTTCATGGATAGTTTTTTTTTTTATCTTTTATAGATAAAATCCCTTTAAATTTAAAAGTTAATAAGACATTCTAGTTAATATTATTTTTGCACATTTCAAAGTAAAAATATTAATTTTAATGAAGGAAAATAATTAAGTATTCTTGTTACTTTTATATACTTGTTAATTTATAAGTATTATTTTCTTTCTACTCACTTAAATATAAAAAAATATAAAAAATAGTACGATGAATATGATTATTGAATATATATATATATATATATATATATATATATATATATATATATATATCAGCATAAGAAGTTAAAATTATAAAAAATACCAACCTTTTTAAAATTTTAAACACTGAAAAAATAGTATTTAAAAATGGTTTTGACATAACAGTAATTAAATAATTATTTTATAAAAATAATTGTAAAGATGACTTTTAAAAACTGATTTTGAAAATAAATTATAATACAAATTTTGTTAACATTTTAATTTTAAATTTGTTTCAAACTAAAGATTATCACATTGAAAAAAAAATAAAAAACTTTACTAATTTCACAGTGATAAAATAAGGGGACAATGCAACGTGGGAACCATGCATATTATTAATGAAAATATAGAACTGTAAACATAAAAAAATTATGTATTTTGGGATTGTTTGTTTTTGAAGATATTTTTCATTCTCATAGTTTTCAGAAATAGAAAAAGTAGTAAAATTTTGTTTGATTTAAATTTGTTTTATATTTTTAAATTAAATATTAATTTTGAATAAATATTTTTAAAAATGTATTGAGTAAAAAAATATTAGATAAATTTTAAAAAAATTAAGATATAAAATATAAAAAGTCATGTTCAAATTTGAACAGTAATTTTAATTGTGTTTATAATAATACAAATGAATAATTTAACGTATATAAAAAATTAATATTCGTGAAAACAAAAATATAAAAAATAATTTTAATCAGTTTTTGTTTCTTGGTTTTTTAAATTAAAAGAAAAAAACAACAACTCTTTAAAGCTGTTTTAATAAACTGCTCCTAAATAATTCTTTTTTGTTTTAAAAAACTGAAATTATTTTTAAAAATAATAAACAAATTAATCTTAATTATTAACAGATTTTGAAAATATCTTTACTTTAGAAATTAAATTTGATAAAAAGTGTTTTATGCTTTTATTAATGAATATAAATATATTTATTAATAATTATATTAAATATTTTTTATTAATATAAAATTATAAATTATTTTATATAATATTCTATTGTGATCATGTTATTAACTTTCGTCTAAAATAATATTATTTTTTTTTCTAACTTATTTTTTAAAATTTGGTCTCTAACCAATATCTTTAAAAGCTTTTAAAAACCTAATAATAAAACTAAATTTTTTAAAAATATTTTCACAAAATAATTATTACATAAATTTTTTTATGTAATTTTTAAAAGCTAAATTGAAAACTATATCTAAAAATATATAACAAACAATATTTTTTTATTTTCTATTTTAATTTTTTTTTGTTTGTATTAATGGTACATGTTGCTCTGCAAGAAAAATAAACAAATATTAGTGTAACGCTACAAGAATATTTCGTATTCTTTGAGAAAGAATGTGACAAAAAAATTAAAAATTAGTGCACATGTCTTATTTTTCAAGTGATATACCACTTCTATAAGTAAAAAACAACGAAAAATATTTTTTTATAAAATTAATCTAATTTAAATAAATTATTATTAAATTTTATATTATATATATATATATATATAATATCAACATAATATAAAATCAGATGAATTATTAATTTTAATTTAAACATGTTTAAAATAATTTTTAAAAATATTTCATAATTATATATATTTATAAAAAATATATTAATGTAAATATATTAATTTAAAACAATTGTTTCATTAAAAATAGTTTTTAATTTTATAATTAAATAAATTTTTAATTTTTTTAAAACAAATGATTGTTATCATAAAAATAAACCCTGCATGTTACTACAACTACTTGATAGATCTGACTGACACGTGAGAAACTGTGGAAAAGAAGAATACAAGAAGGGTAGCTGGGAGGCAAATTAATGTTTGATTCAAATCAATTGCAAATTAAATGAGAACAGTATTTCAAACAAAAAAATAGTACTAAAATCAATGTCGAAGTAAATGGAACATAGTTTTTCATTAAAAAAACAAAGTACACTTTATAAAGAAAATAAAAAATAAATAAAGAAAACAATTTAAAATAGGTCAGGTTGATAAAAATAATATATATTTTAAAAGTAAGTAGATTTAAAGGTACTTTAAGTTTATTTTTTATATTTTGAATTCAATTTATCTGTTATAACTTTGTATCTAAATGATTTTATAAGTTATAAAAAAATTTGTTTTAGGGGTTAGACATGTTTTTAAAATTTTATATTTTTAAGTAAATTTGATTTAATAAAAAAAAATCTGAAAAAGAAGAACTAGCAAGAGGATGAGAGATCAAAGGAGAAAGTCAGGCAATTGGTAGTGGTTCGTGCCTTCAAAATTCAAGACTGAACTGGAAACTTCTTTTCTTACTTTTGATGATTAATTAAAAATTAAGCAAGAAACTAGTCAACAAAACAAACCCAAATCTAATCTTTCTATAAATAAATAATATCCTACAATAAGAAAAGACACCAAAACAAAATCAATTCAAGCCAAGAATTGATTTCCCATTACACCAAATCTCAAAACTTTCAAAATAAAAAAGTGGAAAGTTAATTAATAAAGAAAGAAAAATAATAAAAGAAAAAACCCACATGATGTTTCCTATGTAAGTGGTCCCCACCCCGGAATTCAAACCAAAATTAAATTTAGTTTATTGCCAGAAAAGAAAAATCAGATATCTGCAATAATGGCCAACGGATCTCACACGCTAAAAAGGAAAATTCACACAACATCGCTTTTTAACTTTTATCGTTATTTTTTAATTTAAGAGAATACTCACTGTTATTTTATTAATTAGAATAAAAAAATGTAAAGAAAAAATGAATTTTGAATAAGGAAAAAAAAAATGATTTTTTTTAGAGAGGAAAAGAAGGAGACGTCCGTGAATGGAGTTGTGTTTTATTATACAGCGATATGCACGCGCCTGTCACTTTCTTGCATTGCGCATTAAAGTAGACAAACCCTATCCCACTTTTCCCACCCTTATATATAATACCTTCGCCCTTTCTCTTTCCTCCACCCTTTCTCTTTCCTCCACCCAAACCCTTCTCTTTTTCTTTCTCTACACTCTTTTCAACTTTTCTCCCTCTCTCTTTTCATGGATGATACCAAGAAGCGAGTCCACGACGAGTTAAGCGAAGACTCGTCCAACTCGCCCGAGTTCAAGATTCGTCGAGTTGACTCGCCCGAGTCTCTCCCTCACTCGGTCCTTCACTCGGAGGTGCCACTGCAAGACGACATTTTCAACATACTTGATGAAGCTGACAATGTGCCCGACCGTGACACCGTGGGTCTTGACTCAGTGATCAAAAGCTTTGAAGATGAGATTAACGCTCCCAATTCTGACCCGGTTGGTCCGACCCAGATGCCCGTTTCTGGTGAGTTGCAAACTAACCTGGGGTATCTCCTGGAAGCTTCCGACGATGAGCTGGGATTGCCGCCGACGGATATTTCTGCTGTGGAACCGGGTCTCGACCCGGAAACGACGGAGCCTACTGGGTTCATAGGATTTGAAGAAGGTGTTCCTGGATTTGATGCATTCGAGTTCGGTTCCGGGTTTGTGACAGAGTGTGACGGCGGCACTGGAGGTTTTGTGACTGTTGATGGACTGTTTGATTATGCGGATCCGGCTACGGATGTTTTGTGGCGGTCGGAGTCGTTACAGGCTATGTAAGCGACGGTGGTGAGGGTGGCGGCGAAATTTTGTTGGGGCTAGTGAAACGGTGCGTAGGGGTGGAAAATGTAAATCTAGGAAAATCTGGGGTAACACAGAAAATTAGGTGGTAGATGTGAAAAGTTGTAGCGTTAGGATTTGTTCGTTGTTTCGGTTTTTTGGTTGAATTCAATTGAAACAAACTGGGCTCCTTGACGACACCGTTTGAGTTTTGTTATATTGCATGTTAGAGAAAGTTTCTCAATTTAGTTTTTTGAATTTATTTATGCATCTCACTATTTTCTGAATTGAAGAATCTTAATTGAGTTAAAGAAGGAATAGTATACTTTTTTAACTACTGAAATAAATAGGCATAAAAAAAATATAACATTTTATATTTTCTTTTTCTTCTTAAATTGATGATTGTTATCGTTGTTATGTGATAACATGGATGGTTTTGTTTTTTACAAAAACAGTGGAACTTTTATGCCTCTTCAATTTAGAAAAGATGGTAAAAAAAGAAGATATGATTTTGTGCTAAAATTAAATTTTGTGATGACATAATAAAAATAAATGTAGTAATTCATCGAAAGAAATTCGTATCTATTATTATTATTTTGTAAGTAATATAGAGATTATGATTATTATTTTCTCCATTTTCTCAATTTTTATTGTTTTCTTTTTTAAATTCATCTTAATTTTTATTTATTTCCTATTTATACATGACTTTGTAATTATATATTCTTTTCAGTTTGATGGAAAAAATAGTTTAAATTAATATTTTCCATCAAACAGTTTATAAAACTTCGTAAATATTACTGTATCAAATTTTTAAAGAGAGCCTTGTAATTAAAAAAAATTATAACAATCACTTTGAAAACAATATTTAAGATAATTAATTTAAAATATAAAAGCTTATGATAAAATAATAAAATTTTTACTATTTAAAATATTTTATTATCTGTATAGATTAAAGTCAGGATAAAGAATCCAACGTAGAGACATCCGTGTCATCAATCGAAGTCATTGAATATATTCGTAAAAAGTGAATGTCATGAAGAAAAGGCTTTAATAATATTAAAAAAAAATTTTGTCGGAGACTAAAGTTAAAAGTGAGATAGTTTTTTATTTGTTTGACCATAGAAAAAAAAAGAAATTTCTCATTTCATTGAATGGATAATAATAAAAGAAAAAACATATTTATAAAATGACATAGATACCTTAAATAAAATTAAATGTACTAAATTTAAAATATTTTAAAAATATTAAATATAAAATTATCAAACTGCATAAGTAATTTATTATTAAATTTATTTTAATATAATATTTTTAAAGAATTCATATAATTCAATTCTTCTTTAATAAAAATAAACAAATATTTATGTGAGTATCAGTTAAACTAAATTAAGAATAAAAATGATATAATAAAAATAAATTAAGAATAAAAATGATATAATAAAATATAATAAGAATAAAAAGTGAGATATTAAGAAGAAATTTGAAGTTAAAAAGAATTATAAATAAAAAAATGTAAATATTTAAATTTTATTATACAAAAATTATATTTTTGTACGGCTATTTTTTTTCTAAGTTTCTTACTCCATTTTTTTTCTAAATCCAAATATATTTTAGAGAAAATTATTTATATTTGATCAAAATTTTGAATTGAGTAAGTTTTTTTTCTTCTAATTTTTTATTATTTTTGGCTATTTGAAGTTTAAGTTTACTACATGTAGTAATTAGGGTTTGTATATAAACTTTGTTGTGAAAAGAAGAATTTTAACTAGTTTAGGAGCATTGTAATATACTTAATTTGTTAATTTGAGTTTTTCGTGAGAAAGATCTGTCTTATTTAAAATGTAAGAGTTTTTGTATTCTTTAACTTGAAAGTACTTAATTAAGATAAAAGAAGTTACTTATTTTTTAATTCTCATAATACTTTAGTTTATAAGATATGAATTGTGAATGTATCTTGATCACATTATTTGAGTTTGAGAAATTTAGATTATATGATTATGTATGTGTTGATTTGTGATAATTATATTAAATGTATAAGTGATTTATATGAGTTGAGTCTTTTGAATGTATTGTTCTTGGATTGATTTATAATATGGAGGGTAAAATTTATAATTAATTTGATTTAGAATATTAGAAATATGGTATTGAACAAATTATGTAACATGATAAAAGTCCACCTAACAGAACAAATTTAAGACAATATTGAAAGTGGTTCAAATTCACTCAGCACTTTCAGATTCACCAAACAAATTTTGGACCGTGTTTGAGATTCTATTTTGTCAAAATTTCTTTCAACGAGTTTGAAATTTGCTTAGCGTTTTTAGATTTGCTCAAATTTTTTTAAAAAATCATAAAAAATAGTTATGAACTGCAAACTTAATGTGCAAATCGAAACCCAAAAAATAAGGAATATAATAAGATAAAAATTAGTTAACAAATTATGTTTATAGAAAAAATCGGGGAGGCAAAACCCGTCCCCGCCCCGTTGCCATGCCTAGTTGAATGTTGTTATGTATCATGAAAAATGGTGTGTTGTGATATGAGGATTATCAAATGATATTCTCATGTGTGTAGTGTTTTATGTATAAATATTAATTTGAGACTCAAGGAGATATCTCAATTCTACTGATAATTGGAATCACATAGTTGAAAAGATCAAGTGGTGAGAATTGAAGGAAATTTCTAATGACTTAACCAGTAGTGTGAAAAAAGTTGTATCTTGACAAGTCATTAAGAAATTTACCCTGATCACACGTGAGCGAATATATCAAATTGAGCATCCTTGTGTTACACACTTGAGGGAGTTGTGGTGTGATAGATCCAAATATATGATGTTTATTTCAATATTTAGTCTTTCAGAAGTTGTCTAAAATCTGTATGACATAAATGTGGACCTGCATGAACGTGTGATGTGATATATAAAAATTTAAAGTTAAATTATATTGTTTTATCTCCCATTTAAATTATGTATATTTAAATTGAATTACTAACTTATCATACTCGTTTACGGTGGAATTTCGATCGGTTTCGATTCTAAGGGTATTTTGGTTCTTAATCGAAATCCTCCCACGTAAGCTCTTTTACATTAGGCTAGCAATTCAATTTTCAATCGAAAACGTGTATGAGAATCGAAAACTATAAGTAACAAGAAATCCTATTTTTGGTATTTTATGTCTAAAATGCTCGACTCAAACAAAGCAGTAAAGTATCGAATCGAGAAAAGAGAATATTAAATTGCAAGAAAGTGCGAAAACCCCGAATTTGCAAGAAATCAAGTTTGCAAGATAAATAAAGGACAGGAAATCGAAATGTGCGGGAAATGTAAATTGCTAAAAACCCATTAAGATTGCACAAAAAGTAAATAACAGGAAATCGAAATGACATTGAATGTAATTTACAAGAATATGAAATTGCTGAATTGAAATGGCTCGAAAATAAATTACCAAGGAAAATAAAGAAAGCGATAAATGTACTCCGTGAGCAGGGAAATCCAGATTGCCAGAAGCTTCATGGTGTTCGTCGTTTCTCCGGTAGACTTTTCACTACTGATTCTGTTCTCTGCCAATTTCTGCCCCTCCTCTCTTCCTTTTTTCTTCTATTTATAGGGTGTAGCTCAAGCTTTCCAGGGGCGGTTAACAAGACTGATACCACGTTTTACGTGCACGACGGTTTCTTTTTCTACAGTTTCCCACGTTCTCACGATCCTCGACTCCTTCCATGGTCCCAGAACTGCTTTCTATACGTGCGTTTGACTTATTCTTCTCTTTGTGGTTTATCCAAAGTTTCGATATCCATGTTCCCTTAGTATTCGATGATATCGAACACTTTGCATTGCTTTGGGTTTAACCTTAACATCATATGATTCTAGTTTCTTAGTTTTTTATTCGACAACGAGCATTTGGTTATCATTCACCCACTTTTCGATTGTGCCTCTCGATGTTATGTATTACGTACCTCTAATTGGACATCGAATGATTTCTTTTGTCTATCTTACCGATTTATCAATCGATCATATTTCTCGATTCCACAATAACAAAATGCCCCCTTGAAAGAATATGAATGATTTCAGTTTATATTCTTTCAATATTCCCGCCTTAATGTTTGGAAGCCTACGGAACTTAGGGTTTAGGTTTTCTGGGGTTCTAGGGTTAAAAGGGTTTTAGGTTTTCCTTTCCATTTTACGTCGCCATCATATCAGTCTGTTGCTTTTACAGTACGCTACATTTATTACTTTTCGCGTCTGTCGTTCCAGCTCCCTAGGCGATTTTCTCTTTTAACCTTTCTCTTGGTCTTTGTTTTGGTTTTTACGCGAACTTTTACCCTAAGTCTGTACTTTCATCGTCTTCCTTGAGCTCTTGCTTTCATCTCTGTGTCTTCATCTTTTCCGTTGCTTTTCTTCATCCTACTTATTACTGAAATGGCCACTTCCTCCAAGTCTTCTGACTTCTCCGTTCCACCTCTTTCCTCGTTGCCTTCCACCCTGCTGGAAATTAACAACCAGAAGTTCGCTCCAGTCCCTTTGATGGAGGAGGCTTCCCGAAAAATTGCTGAAACGCAGGTACTAATCCCTTACACTGTTGAGGGGGTTAATTTTGCTTTTGGGGGTCCACTTCGTCCTATAGATGACATTTTCTCCCCTCTCAACCTTTCGATCAGCCAGGCTCTTATACATCACCCTGAAGTTAGGGTTGATTTTTTGAATCTTACCTCTAAAGTATATAGAACAGGCCCTCCTTCTAAAAAATCCTCTTTCATTAAGTGGTTTGATAGAGTAAAAACTAAGTTTGGGAGCCATTGGAAGGATGTTGGAATTTTCGATTTTCTGCATCTGTCTCGATGCGACCTGTCGTTTTTGGATATGGCAATGTTTTTATCTGCGGTGCACTTGTGGAATAAGGATTTACATGCTTTGGAGTTACCTTGTGGCCCACTTTCACCCACCCTTTTTGAGGTTGCGGCTATTACTGGCTTAAAACCTACGGGGGAAAAGTACTTCAAGGGTA